TGGCAGACTCCTAGTGATCTGTTAACTGTCATGCATGCTGGGCTGACTCCGCCCCAAAACAGATGATAGACTGTCATTAAACATGACCACGTGAACTAGTTATCTCAGGCTCTTGGACGTGACATTTTATAAAGCTGACTCACGCTTCACTTCATCATGATTTGGATTGACCTGTGTGGTAGGGTTCTCGGTTTCAGCTCAGAAGGTGCCCTTTTCTTCACAGTACAAGAGGGCAAGCTTTTGCACAGCTCCATCATTGTGATCTGGGCTAAAGAGGCTGACCCAGCATTTGGACTGACCGTGGGGGTGAGGGACAGAGCCAGGGCAGCAAAGGGGCAGGTCTGCTGACTGGCTGTAAAGAAATGGAACAGGTTTTCCCAGTGGCTGACAAGTGGGCTCCAGAGACATTTCTTCTGCTTTTTTTTTTTTTTGAGAGGTTTTTGCCACAGGACGTGTGCATTTGCCAGAGAGACAGAAAGTGAGAAATCAGTCCCCGGGAGGGATGGCCATGCCGCAATCCCTTCGCCAATCGCCTCTCGGAATCTTGGGCGGGCACATACGCACACAGGCTCAGCGTGAATTTAAGCCACCGGGTCTGGGACTCGAACTGCAATCGCCTACATGGGAGTTCAGCGACATAGCCATTACGCTAACTGCTGGCCCCCAAAGACATTTCTTCTAACAGGATGATCATTTTGAAGGATAATACTGAGTTCAGTTTTTTTTTTAGCTTACTTCACTTTCATCAGGAGTCTAGAGAGTGCACACGGAGAATGAGCCTGAGAGAGGAAGGCATTCTTGACACGGTCTCTGCACTGTGATCCTTTCCCCCAGCCCTCCAGCTGCTCAGGATCTTGGACATGGTTATACCCTGTGTATTCTGTTTCTCTTTTTCTTTCTTTCTTTCTTTTTTTTTGTTCTTTTTGCAATTTTTTAAAAAAAGTTTTTGCCATAGGGTGCATGCAGTCGCCAGTGAGGGAAAGTGATAAGTTACTCCCCGGGGGGATGGTCACACCACAGTCCTGTCTACTCCATTTTCTTCTTGGGATTTTGGACAGGCAAGGACACACACACACACACACACACACACACACACACACATGAGACTTTCGAGCTGCTTGAACCGTGATTGGCCAGGTGGAAGTCCAGTGCCTTAACTACCATGCCATCTGCTGGCCCCCAGTTTTGTAACTTTTTAATCTCATACTACATTCTGTCTGTAGCTGATAAGGGGAACATCCAGTGTGTCCTTTTGCCATATTCTCTTGTCAGAGTACCTGTGTTTGCATTAAGAGACTTACACTGGGGGTCTGAAAACACAGCCAGCACTGTGTACATGTGAATTTATTTCTGGTCTGTTCCACTGTGCAACATTTTAATTTTATTGATTCAAATTTACACTGTGCCAGGCTCTGGCATTCCACACAAAATAGTGAGAGCCCTAGGATAGGAATTTGGCACAGGTGAGGATGTCGGTTAATACTTTCGGAAAAAAAATCTGTGTGACTGACTCAGTGCAGAGAGAAGTGACACAGTCCAGCGCTCGAGCTGAGCCACATCTCCCCATGTCACGCAGGTGTTTCTCACAGTCCCTACGCGGGGTCCCAAGTGCCCCCGATGTCGCCTCTTAGAACGGGTCATTTACAGTGTGAAAAAGAACCGGCAGAGAGCCACAGCTGCTGTCTCCAGGGTTGGAAAAGTTTCCACAGGGAATCCTCCCAAGTCCAGCCAAGGAAGTGCTGTCCCCGTGTGTCAGAGATAGTTGTGGGGAACATACCGAGGGGAAGTTAGAAAGTTTCCGGACTCTCAGTTTCTTGCTGGACTTCAGTAGTTCTTGAATCTGATTTTATTGCTGACGTGGTGGAAAGAAACCCTGTTGGACTTCTCATCCTTTTATTTCTGAGGGGGTTTGCACTGCTTTTGTCCCTATTCAGCATTCAGCTTTCAGCTAGGCAGGCCCTAAACCTAGGCAGAGCAGTCCAAGTTCCCTGTGTCTCAAGGGGGTACACTGGTTCCCTAAAACTGTCCCGCCGAAACTGGCTTCTCTGGGAAGTTCCTGCTTTAACTCCTGAAATGGCTCCGTTCACTGCTTTCCCCCTCTTTGGGGCCTGCTGTAGTTTGGATGGCCACCCCTCACCCCTCCTAGTGTGTGTGCTGGGACGAGCTGGTATTGTGAAGGTGTCTGAAGGTGTCGGTGAAAACTGACTCTCTTCATAGTGTCCTGGGGGCTTTGGTTGGGAAAGATCAGAAGGACCTGGCCTCCATTCTTGTGTTTTTTTGGGGGGGTGGTATAAGCTGAGGGGGGGGACCAAAACAAACTGCTGCAAACTGCGGTCTGCTTGAAGTTCTGCCTACTGCCGTTTTTTCCACCCACCAGCATAGGGAGTTTTGCAATCTTTCCACCCACCAGCATAGGGAGTTTTGCAAATAAGCTTGTTTTCTCTGTAAATCACCCAGTCTCACATATTTCTGTTAGCAGCACAATAACGGATTAAGACAGGGCTATTCCGAACAAGTCTGAGTTTTCTGAGTTTTCTGCTTGACAGATGCCCAGATAATTCGAGAATAGTGTTCATGTCTTCCCAGAAACATCCCTTATCTAGACTAAACAAACAGCCTTTCTTCTTGGGGAGTTCTTTATGGTTTTGCAGCCTCTTTCCTCGTTTTCATTGCCTTCTTCTGAAATTTGTTACTCAGAAATGGATTTCAAATCTAGTCTAGTAAACATGGATCAGATTAGTCTTATGAGAAACACTACACGTTTTGGAAAATGCAGTGAAGTAGCATGTAAATTGTTTTTCCCTCAGACCCAGTATGCTGCTAACTCAGAAATCTCCATCTTAGAAAAAACAGAAGTCCTACTCTGTTCTCCTTTACTCAAGTGCAAAAATTTTACATTTCACTTTATAAAAATTAACAGCTGTGTAGATTGTTTTGGAATCTGTTTTGGTCCTAGCCCATGTTATCTCCAACTTTAATGTCTGTCCTTTATATATTTATTTGAAAAATCAGTGAAAATAGTTGAGTAATTAGAAGGAACAGGTCTCTTTAATAACTTTAAAATCTAACTTAGTCCATTGTTCTTTAATTACTTTGTAAAAAAAAAGATTTAGTGTATCTTTTTTACTTCTGTTTTACCCATATTCTGTAGTCCATAAAGGTAGTGTACAATTTTATCGTGACTCTTACTATGTCCAGATATACAGTGTCTGCAGTGTGACATTGGCTGGCTGGTTTTGTGAAGCTGTCCAAAAGTAAAAAGCAAACAACTTTGGTCTCACAGGGCTGAGTGAACCCATGCTGGGTTAGGGTGACCACTTTTTTCTTTTTCTTTCTTTCTTTCTTTTTTTTTTTTTTTTTTTAAAGAGAGATTTTTGCTGTGCTTGCGGGGGAGACAGACAGAAAGCCAGAAATCACCTCCCAGGGAGGATGGCTATGCTGCAGTCCCTTCTCTTGGGATTTTGAGCAGGCATGCACATGTACCCGGCATGAATTTTTAGCTGCCGGATCTGAGTCTCGAACCACAGTCATCTACGTGGGAGTTCAGCCACATAACCATTATGCCTTCTGCTGGTCCCTGCTTCCTTTATCAGAGTGTTTAGAAACCATACCGTGATTCTAGATATGTTCACGATAGATACCAAATTGTTGTTCTAGAGGTCTTGTGAGGCTTTCATTCACTTCATTGCTTCGCTAATGCTCTTCAGCACTAGTCTCACTATCAGTATGTGCTGTTTTTTCCCCTTTTGTTTTTAATTTGTTGTACTGGAGTTTCCTAGTGGCACGCCCCGTTTACCCACATCAGTGTCTTTTAAGTATATTCTTTATAGCAGAATCATATGTAATTATTTTGTCAGAAATAATTCTTCTGGAGGCCAGCTGGTGGCATGGTGTTTAAGGCACTGGACTCCCACATGGCCGACTGCAATTTGAGTCTCGGACCTGGGGGTTTGCTTTCTCACTTTCCCTTTCTCTCTCTCTCTGATACAATTAAAAAATAATAAATAAAATTAAATAATTCTTTAAAAAAATTCTTCAGAGCTTCCTAGCTCTGAAGTCATTCTTCTGTCTCTTTTAATAAGAATTATTAAGTTATTAATATTCTTCAGTTTGGCTAGAGAGAGACAAAGAAGGGGGAAGGAGAGTGAGAAAGCAAGCCACCAGGTCCAGGACTCAAACTGTGGTTGGCCATTTGGGAGTCCAGCACCTTAACCACCGTGCCACCTGCCAGCTCTGATATTAAGCCATTCTTAAGTTCTACCGAAAGTAAAAAATACTCTACCAGGCACAGTTGCAGTGTCGCAGGTGATGAGGGTGCTGCTGCATGGTACTGAGGCCTGGGGCTGACCTGAAACTGCTGCGTGTGCCTGCGCACACCTGTGACCCTATCTGGCTAGCGGGCTTGGGAGAGGGTTGCAGTGCAGGGAGACCCTGTCAAAGGTACCTGTGTCTGTCTGTCTCTCTTATGAAAAGCTTTAAAAATTTCACCTAAAAATAAATATAAAAATAAATTCAATTTTCAAGTAAATTTGGGTAATTTTTCTAAACAGTGTCGAAAAACTAGATCAAATTATTGGTTTACAACTTATTTTCAAATTAATTGTGGATCCTTCCATTCTTTTTAGTCTTTATCTCCAAATCTGCAAAGAGGAACACATGCTCCATGTGACTGTGTTATAAATAGAAACTTACATTCTGATGTTTTACAGCTTTTTTTGAGACCTAATATTCTGTTGATTCAGGACAATTAGTCTGTTTTTTCCAGAAGTACTTGTTCACATGCGGAATTTCGCTGAGGTAGATTCGTAGAATTTTATGGCGCGAGCAGCGTGGCCGGGAGGGAGGAGGCAGTATTTACTGAGAGCAGCCTGTGTATCAGGTGTGGGAAGTCCCCACGTAGTAATGGGAGCTGGTGGAATGGTTTTGTTTGAGGGATGACTGTAAGGTGATTTGTGCTTGTAATTAAGGTGCTATTTGGATATTTTTTTTCTCTTTTAAAGGAACAGTGAACAGAATGAATCCCTCACTGGACCAGAGTGGCTGCTGCAGTAATAGAGAGCCCCTTCTGAGATGTAGCGATGCACGGAGGGACTTGGAGCTCGCTATTGGTGGAGTTCTCCAGGCTGAGCAGCAGATTAAAGATAACTTGCGAGAGGTATGCCCTGAGCTCTTCTCTTCCCATGTGTGGATGCTCAGTGCAGGCTAGTTGGAGCCTGGCCATGGCCAGGGACGTGGCCCCTCAGTGCCACCTGGGACGTTTCACCCCATGCCTGTGTGGTCTTCATCCTAGTCAGCTGTCTGACATGGTTAGTGCTTTTGATCCCAGTGGGAAATAAAGGAGATGCTAGAAGAGTCTGAAAAAACCCACACCACTCCAGAGAACTCTGTTCCATACTTTTGGTTTTGTTTTATGAGAGAGAGAGAACAGGGTGGGCAGGGGCGAGGGGATGGAAGAGACAGCAGTTTCCTTCTTTCTTTGGGGTGGGGCTGGGTCTCACTGTTGAGATCCTCTGCTCCAGCCTCTCAGTGGACTAGATCTCAGGTGTGCAGTATGATGCCCAGCCCGTTCAGGCCTCCCTCGTGGCCCCGCCCTGCACAGAGGCATCCTACCACTTGTGCCCCCATGGCTGGGCCAGCATGTTTTTGCCTGTTCCTGTGTGTGGTCCCTGTGCTACACATGCCATCAGTGAAAAAGTACTGAATGAGTGGCAGTTTACTGCTCAGCCCTGCCCGCTCGGTGCACAGAGGGTTGCACTTCAGCATGCTCCATTGTCTTTTCCCTTGCCAGGGGCCTGGTTTGGGTGGCATGGTTCTGCCAGCAACTCTCTGTTAGGGCGAACCAGAAGGAAATCAGTGGTGGTCTGTTGGTGAGTGCTTAGACCAAGGTTTATACAGCTTTGAAACAACTTTATTACACCAAATAAGCTGTGCTTTAAATAACTATTTCTAAATTGGATTATCATGGATAATTTATAGGCTTTTTGATTTTTTTTTTCCTGGAGATTTTAATATTTAGCTCCCGTTTGAATCACTTTATTCAATCTCTGTATTCATTCATATACTGTAAGTGTACTGCTCATCTGTGGAGCAGGAAAAGATAAGAGTTAGCTGTTCCACTGATTAATGTGTAAAGCCATCAGTGTGTAAATGGTAGGGAAATCCGAAGTGGATCAGTACCTCTTGGCATATCCTTGTATTTTCTCTGGATTAGTTTTAGGACACGCTTGGGAGGAGGGACATTGAAAGAGGATTTTAGAGCTTAGGTATGCCTTTTTGACTGGCTTTTTAAACTTGGGTGTACAGGATTTTTGTGGATCCATGGGTGTGCTTTGTGAAACCAAACCTTGAAGTTATAGACACAGTTTTGAGTATATGTATTTTTTTGGCGAAATGCTCCTAGATGTCATTGAATAATAAGCATTGCGACCCCCTTCACCTCCAAAGGTCTAAGAAACTCAGTGTACCCTGGGAAACATCATTCTTTGAGCGTTTGATACTAGTGAGGCTAACACATATGTGCTTTCTAGGTAAAAGCCCAGATTCACAGTTGCATAAGCCGTCACCTGGAATGCCTTCGAAGCCGTGAGGTCTGGCTGTATGAACAGGTAGATCTCATCTATCAGCTGAAAGAGGAGACTCTTCAGCAGCAGGCCCAGCAGCTCTACTGGGTAAGGTGCTTGCATGAATAGAATTGTCCTGCGTGTTTCCAGTTTCCAGGAGAATGTCTTCTTTGTAATGTTGGACTAACTAACATAGATCAAGGTGTTGTATTAACACTTGTTTACTTGGCTATACCTGGTACTTTCTGCGTCATTGTAGCTCGATGACTTATTTTTTTTACAGTTACTGGGCCAGTTCAATTGTCTTATTCACCAGCTGGAGTGCACCCAAAGCAAAGATCTAGCGAATCAAGTATCTGTGTGCCTGGAGAGGTAAAGACCCTTTTTGCTCATTTTGACTATTGGGTCTGTGACTTCCGTGTATTAAAAGAAAGTTCATTTTATAATTCAGTGCATGTGCTGGATATGACTCGACAGCTCTGCTCCTGTACTAAGATCGTCCTGCTTTTATATGAGGGAAGGTCTTTAAAAAATTCATGACAAATGCATATTGTAAAAAAAAAATTGCATGGATTTAAAAGTTTTTTTGGCTCATACCTTTCCATGAACTGTCCAAAGTCCACATGTGCATTTAATATTATATTTGCTGTTACATGATTAAGCCATCTCTCTCTTTGAGTGTCTTAGAAAAATACAATATTATTCATAATTTGACTATTGTGGATGAAATTGAAACAGTTATTTCTTTTTTTGTTTGTTTTGAAACAGTTATTTCTTAAAAATACATTTTATTTCTTTTCCCAGACTGAGCAGTTTAACCCTGAAGCCTGAAGACCCGTCTCTCCTGCTATTTGAAGCAGATACAACAGCTCTGCGGCAGAAGATCACCACGTTTGGGTCCCTCAAAACCATGGTGAATAATGTTGCTCTCAGATGTGCTTAGAATGCTTCTCAGATCTGTGGCTTCCCAGATGATCTTTTAAAAAAATTACATTTTAAATCTGAGTAGTGGCTTTCTTGAGGATGAGGGTGAGCTTCAGCAATGTTGTGTTCCAAATCAGTGGAGCATTAGGCCAGTAGTTCTTGGAATGTGATAGTGACTCATTGGAATTCACTCGTATCTCCGAATGCATTACACATACTTCCTTCAAAATGTATGGCTTGAATAGTCTTTATTAGGAACTAAACATAGTCTCATTTGGGTTTTGTTAGAAGTACTGATACATCCTATTTTGGTAAAGATCTATGCAGATAGTTAAGGTGGTAGAGAACTCTGGGGTTTCATAACTAGTTTGTATGAATTAAGTGTGAACAGTATTCTAGTCAAATGGTAATGCTTTGCTGAATCTTTGGAAATTTAGGAATTAGTTTCACTTTTTTGATATGAAAGCCTAGCATAAATTACATGGCTCAGTTATCTTTGTTTTTATAGCAAATTCCTGAGCACCTGATGGCTCATACCAGTTCATCAAATATTGGGCCTCCTCTGGAGAAAAGAGGCTGTTTCCCAATACCAGAGCAGGTAAAAACGTCATTTTGTTTCTGGTAATTGAGTCATTACTTGGCTTTTCTTTCTTTTGGGGGGGGGTGGCTATTGTTTTTATAAAGAGCACTGGTAATGAGGTAGTTTTGGCAGAA